TACAAAGTTGTATACTACTAAGAAAGTAACATATGTAGTGGACTGCCTTCTTAATATGGGTACTCTCTATGGAGTCATGTTTCAATAAGTACAGTTGGACCTTGGATTTCGGAGTTGAGAACAGTAAGATTCAAAACAAATCAAAGAATCAAAACACGACTCCACAGAGAGACAGATCAGAGAGTCGAAACACGACTCAGTGACCGTTTTGCAGATGGTGCAGATCCACCGTTTTTAGAGGCCATTTTTAGAGGTGGATTTAAAGACATGTTTCAGATCCGGCTCACCAAAGGTTTGGCATTAGCAGAGAGCATAACAACAATGGTTTACCTAAAGCAATGGGCAATAGCAGATGGCTTATAGAACACAAAGATCAAATTTTGTCCATAATAGACAAAATGATATAATAATGATTGATACAGCTCAGGTGGTATAAGAAAAATAATATGGCCCTTCAAGGTTTATATAAATAAAGAAAAATATTTTCACAAAAAGAATACTTTTGCTTATGCAAAAACAAGGAAACCACTTTGACGGTGCAACAGATAGAGAAGGGGCACCTAGAGAGAAAAATGGAAGTTAATGGAAGAGAGAGAGTAGTTGGGGTAACGAGAGAAAGTTGGTCTGAAGAGGAGAGTAGCTCGAGATAACCCCAAATCCTGAAACTTAAAACTAAAAAACAAGATAAATCTGCCTCAACAAACTCAGAAAAAGAAATTGAGAGAGAAAGAGAAAGAACCAACTCCAACATAACAAATCAAGATAGAGAGAGAAACCCTACGCACCAAACAGAGACCCACATGAGAGAGTAGATAAGAACCAGGGGATGTTCACATAAGACGTTCTCAGATCAGAGGATGTCATAGATCAAAACTTTCGTACCTCTTGGACTAAATCGCATACTAGAGAAGCCCAAGAATGGAGGACAGACCAAGGTTCCGATGCCAGATGAACAGAGAGGCGCAATCACATTTAGGGCTTCACTTATCAGAGAAACTGGAAACAATACTTGATGCTTGAGATACAAAATACCAAATTGTGACTCTGCTCAATGATCGAAATAGAACCATGCTCTGATACCATGTTATAAACTGTATTTCTATGTATTTGCGCCTTAAGCTACCATGGAAGATGTATTTCAGAGCTTATTGAATATCTAAATAAGAACCCCAATTTATAGGGTTATAAAGCTGTGTACTACTAAAGAAATTAACATTTGATATGGGTACACATAAGATAAAGAAAAATATTGTATCAACAAATAAGTGTAGGTTTCTATAATTTCCACACAATGGACATGGTACACCGTGCATCAGTTCTCCTCCAACATTGACGCACGAGATATTGGTCTTTATTTAAATCTAATAAGTAGGAAGTTTTGGCTAAACACTCAAAATACTAGAGCACAAATAGTTGGATAAGGTCTCTCCTTACTAACTAGTTCGGGACGTGCCCCCCCTTTTTCTTTTTCTTTTATCTTTTTGGATTCAATGATAGAGAAAAATGAGAGTAGAGAGAAGATGGCATGCTACCCAGGAGGAAGAGAGAGAGAGAGAGAGTCAAATTAGGGTATCAAGAATGACCCACAATAAGATTTAGTTATAACTCAGAGGCTAGTGTTTTAGGAATTTGGATTAGAGATTCAACCTTGACAGTATATCATAGGTAACTTATGGACTGAGAGATCTTAGTCATTCATTATTTAAATAAGTCATTATGATCAAAAGGAAGGTGCTAGAAACCTTATTCATCAGCTTCATTAACCTAATCTCATCAAATATTTTTATAGAGAAAAAATATTATGTACTTATTTAATTTCAATCGATCTCTACACCTTCCCATTTTAGAATAAGGCAAGTTTTCTATACTTCGCCTACAGCATAGAAGTTCTATCATCCCCCTTATCTAACCGTCCATTCTGAATGGAGGGCTAAGATTGCCCCAATCAAAATGTCATGTCTCTACACTATTGTTTTTTAATTCGTTTTTTCTATAAACTATTTTCACACCAAATTTTGGACGTCCATTCTTCTATTAAACTTGCACTAGTAAAAAATATAAAAAAATATTTTCAATAAAATAAAATAAAATGACCAAAATACCCCTGAAAATTTCAAGGGGTATTTTGGTCATTATATTTTATCGAAAACTTATTTTTAATATTTTTTATAGGTGCATCCCAATGAGAAGACGGCGCGTACTAAATTTTATATTCATACAATTTGTATTTAAAAAAACTAAAAATAAAAATACTTTGAGACATCAGATCTAAGATCGAGCGGTGAGCGGCTCTCTTGAACAAAATTGGACGGATGGATGGTAGGGGAAGGATAGAACTTCTATACTGTAAAGGAAGCATAGAAACCTTTCCCTTTAGAATAATCAAACTCATTATATAAAACATTTCCTTTTTAATTTCAAATCAACTAGGTGGCTTCCTTGGCAAGCCACACAACAAAAGGAAATAGAAGATAAATGGGGCGTCCCACACATACTAGGCAATGTGGGCTCCATGCCCCTACTAATGGGCACATATGTGATAGCCCCTAATCAATTTTAGGCTCCCACAATCTTAAGTGAATTTTACAAAATAAATAAAACAATTTTCAAAAACTTTGTTAAGGTCATTTGTTTGACACCAATATGTCAATATAGACTAATAAAAAAATAATAATAATTTGAAAACACAACCTAAAAATATTTTTTTAGCCCAATTCATATTGGTCATTCATTTTAGTGTGATTCTTATATCTAGGACTTAACAATATCTTTTGTCTTTCGAAAATTTTTAGATAACTTTATTATTATTAGATTAATATTGTTAAAAAATTAAAAAAGATTTTGATTTCATGAAACCTGGATCATGAAATTCACCAAATGGATAGTCTAGATTCATTTTTTAAAGAGACTCATTTTGACCATATCTAGGATACAAACTGAATTTTAGTTTTTCTAGCAATGATTTTTAAGATGAAGATAGTGGGTGTACAAAATTTTGGGTCATACACATGCCATGAATTTGGGATCATACACATGCCTAAAATTCATGTGATTTGTATTTATAAAAAAAATTATAAAAATTATATTACAAAATAAAATTGTGACCGTCAGATTAGCCCATATTCAATCTGGATCGTTGAGTTAGACTGTAACCATCAGCTAGTAAGCTAACATCATCTTTTCTCAAATATATACACGGGAAAGATTTCATACCATAATTGTCAAACAATATAATATAATGCATATCAAAATCTTTTTCTAATCCATATTGTCCTTCGTGCTGTATATTATCGTATCGAAGTTATCATTCGCGGCACGCTTATCCAACTTTAAGAATGAAAGAATAGGGAAAAGAGTAGTAAAAGAAAAATTCCGCGTGTTTAACATAAATATATGCGTGTTGCTTGCATTATCGTTTGGAAAATTGCTTCATGTGGGCTGGACCGCAATTCTACATGTGCAGTCATAAATCCATCTTAAATATGGATGCAAGTAGTTCCATCTAAAATCAATGGAAACCAACCTTCTAAATGCTTTTTTACTAGAATTATTATTTTTAGTTTTAAAATTTTATTTATTTATTGATATTCATGATCTCCATATTAGAGATTAGATGTCCTTAAAAATTAGGACTTCAAATATGTCTCAAAAATAGATTTATTAAGAGGTCTGCATTTCTACATATGCAAGCTTTACCACATAGAAACCGGGTTCTTATTTTTCATCTTTTTTGGATCTAATATAAATTCATTAAGTAAAGTAAATTGTACACGACTAGTGTATGAGAGCAAAAAAATGTATAAGGAAGAGGTGGATAGAGCGGAGAAAGAAGAAGAAAAGAAAGAAAGGAGACTAGAAAAAGAGCTTAGTGGGGGTAAACTACCTTGAATTTTGATGATTATTACATAAAGGATTATATACAATGAGACCATTTATCTTTGGTACAAGAGGTCACAATTATTTATAATCATCCAATATTGAATTCGATAGCTTAGATGTGTCACAAAATTCAAAAAAAATTATTTTGAACTTTGAGCTTGGCCAATGGAATAAATACAACCACCCAATTTCACATCCAATGGACAAGATTAATTGCGATCGCCTTGTACCAAAAGTAAATGGTTTGTATACCTTTCCATTACATAAATGTCGATATAGTTAAAAATATTTAAAAATTTAGTACTATTTGTATAAGAAGAAATTGCGCATAAAACTTTTGTTATGCTTGGTTCTTTGATAAATTTGTAGTGTGTTACTTGTCCACAACAATGCCACATGCTCTCAACTACTATATATGGCAAATTTATTGATAGTTATTCACGAAAAACTCAAAGAGCACCTTACAATTCAAAAGGTCCAAGGACATAGACACTCATGCAAGGAGTATTAATACTTCAGTCCTACCTCTCATCTAGACCTCTGATACAGGTGTGCTTATTCCGTGTAGGAGAGTGTTGACACGCAACAACGAGCTACTAGCAAAGTATTGCTAAATTTTTTTTCTAATTAAGGGTCAATCACATAAATCTTAATCCACTATTCTAATCTATTGAAAGTCATATCCTTAATGAAGTCATAAATCCCCATATCTTTTCGAACTACTTCCAACCACATCTTTTTAGACCTACCCCTTACCCTTTTCAATCCTTCCACTTGAAATTGGTAAACTTAAGTGAAGGAAAAATACTAAGTAGATTGACTCATGAATTTACCTTAGTTTTCCATGTGATTTATATTCCAAGACATCCCAAATTATGGATTTATATTCCTCTAATGAATTTGGAGCTCCAAAAACATTCAAATCTGATGATCTTTAAATAATTAAAATAAACAATTCAAAAGAAGCTCCAAATTAACCACTTTTAAAACTCCAATTTCTTTTTCTTTTCAAATTTATGATTATGGTGGTCTAGATGATAGACTTGCAAAATTTTGGACATTTGGGAGGTTGTACTCATTGTAAGCAGTGGGCGCCTACCATAAGCAAAAACATTTCCCCACAAGCAGATACAATTGCCTCACACTTGTTAAACCTGAGTGAAACTAAGGCCACAACATAAGCAGTTGCCAATGCATATTTTTACACATCATGGATACCACATTATACATTTTGAAATGATTAATATCAAAATAGGTAAGATGGAATGCCTATCATTCACACAGTGTGACAAGGGCTAGGTAAAATCATCATCTTGCTTATCGCTATCAGTAGCCATCCTTTTGATGGGCAACAAATTTCTGGGAGAAACACCAGTCACTCTTAGTAATCGTGCTTTACAAATATCACTGATCGGACGTGTTCCACTACAAATAGATGCACACTTTAGTGAGCCATCACTTGATCTAAGGAAATTTTTTGGCAACGTAGAGGGCAAATTTGGTCGTTGCAATATAGGCCTTTGGTGATGTAGTCTCTCGGTTGGAACATGTGTTCTCTCACCTGTTCCAACTCCTTTGGTCTGTCTATCTCGTGGAGTAGACTCGACAGGTACAAGTTTTCCATTAACCTGGTTAGTGAAAACAAATGTCACCTGCAAAATACAGGGTTATGAGAATGCAAGGCACAGTAAAACACAACAATTAAAGGCCTATGAATTTTCCTTTTGCATGATTTAAAACATCCTTTCGATAGATTGACCAGCCCTTAGATTTGAGACCAACAAGCATTTTGGTCAAGCAGTAACAAGCCACACCAACAATAAATCGCGTTCTACGAGTGGGATAAAACTGGTATGACTCCAGAAAATAAGATGTTGTGTGTGCACTAACACCTACTTGGCTTCTAAATTGGCACCCAAATAAACCAATTGAACTACAATGCCTCCCCAATGGCACTAAAACATGTATTGGGACAGCATACAGATGTGCCATAAATTTCAAACAAAATAGGTTGGGAGCTGGAAAACAAAACCAGAAGCCAAGTAAATATTGTATAGGTTTGAAAAGAAAGCTGGCAAAATGAGGGTGATCACTTAAACACTAATCGCTTTTTGTTCGCTATTTCAGTGTCAAACATGTTTGACACTTCGAAATTTCTGGAACCTCAACAGACTTGTTGGTATTAGATATACAAAAAGTATACATTTGACCATTTACTTTTAGAACAAGGAGGTCCCAATTACTCTTGCCCTTCAGATTTCAAATCAAGTGGTTGTAAGCATGTTATTGACTAGACTCAGCTCCAAAAAAATTTCTTGAACTTTGTGGCACACCCTAAGCTATCCAATTTGACATCTAATGACCAAGATTAATTATGACCATATCGTGTGAAAAATAAATGGTCTCACATACTATACAATCCCTTGGATATAACTCTTAGCTAATAATCTTTATGATAATCTTTTAGAACTTTTCCTCAACGTTATAAATTTTCACAGGACCTTGTAGTATCTATATTCCATATTTGTATAAAAATCACTAAAAATTTAAAAATATTTTATAAAACAATGAACTGTAAATACATTAGTGTCAGCATTGCATAAACACAAATATATATACCAACATAAATACATAACGCATGCACGCATACCTACATAGATATATAACGTTATAAAAAATTTAACAAAATAATATTGTTACAATAAATTTGTACTTTTAAATTAGCATGCATATTTATGTGTGCATATTTACTTGCCCAAATGAATATAATTTTTATAAATAACATCACATATATGAGATATTTACGTCTTATGAATGATTTATTTTTGCACTTAGATTGCTATGTGGCAATCCACCAAATGCCAGACAATGACACGTCTTGGTTTGTTAAAAATGGGTTAACAAGACATGATTCACAATTGTGAAGGGCCCACATTTAATATTTAATAGGCACTCTTTTCTTCATGAGGTTCTATACCACAAGCACCAGGCATTTCACAAATTATATTGCATCTTTACCATCCATTCAACATGCAAATGCATTAGAATGGGCACATGATATATAATGTTACCAGCTAAGGCCCATCAGTCCATTCAAGGTGAAATTGCATTTAAGAAGGATGACAATATGTGCAGCGTGCCACACGATCGTCCACTCCAGATGCATTGGCAACTCCATGCTGATCCGCAGCATGGTATATGCGCACCTCTGTTCATTTGACATCCCGAGTTAAAAATTATAATAACGTTCTAATGAAATAATGCAAGTGTTTCTATTTGCATGATGGGAATGTTAGGAACTGCTTCCTTAATTCAAAGCATACAATAGATATCAAAGGTGACCGCCTCTGAAGAGATGAGGCTCTATCGCCTAACCTAACCCTAGATGAGAGCTCGAGAAGCGAGGCATCCATATACCTTCTTCTAAGTTACACATGCAAACATACATATAATATCACATAAAAGAATGGGAAAGCCACACACACACACACACACACACACACGAAAGATTAAATAAAATAGAAGTTGGACTAGACATACTGATGGATCCAACAAAAGCAAGGATTCAATGTAATGCAAATGACAGTGACAGTACGAATCCAAAGCGGACCTCATACACACACACACACGCACACACAAAGATTAAATAAAATAGAAGTTGGACTAGACATACTGATGTATCCAACAAAAGCAAGGATTCAATATAATGCAAATGACAGTGACCGTATATAGAGATCCTAACGAGACTGTACAAAAACAAGGTTAAAAGAACAAGTGAGTCAAATTCTAAGACAACAAAAGCATTTTATATCAAAATAAAAAACATGCGATAAATTTTTTTCAGGGTGAAGGACGCATTACCAACATCATTTTTAGCCATAATATAAAGATCACAAACTCCAAAGCAATCCTCTTATGAAGAGAAACAAATTAATGTGTTAAGATTCTATCCAAGGCCTCCATTTGAGTTAAAGGGTATTCATGTGTCATGTAAGTTGATGCTACTAGTCCATATGTTTAGAAGGTATAGTTTGTGAATATAATTTTAGTCTTCCTGGTTCTTGTAAATAATGTTTGATAATATATCCACTTGCAAAATTGCAAACTGAAAGAAGATAACAATCAGCAAACATGAGTTGGACGTGTATGAGATCAATTGTGATGGAATATAATTGCATTGAAAGATATAATGCTATGCTTCTTTGCATAAATTTGTCACATAACACCAGAAACCATGATTTGTACAAACCTCTTCACCGGCAGAAGCTTGAAGAATTGGATCAGGTACCGTGGTTGGCAGACAATGATGTCCCCAACTTAACAAGTCCTCTTCATTGGGAGAACCCAGCTGAGAAAACAGTAGCATGTATAAGTTCTGGGTAAAAAATAGAAGAAAAAACTGGTTAAAAAACATGATGGTTAAGTGAAACCTGTTTCTCCCAGCTCCTCAACTTGTGCAAGCATCCAGCTATTTCAGCAAAACAACCTATATCGGAACCTTGTTGATGATCTGGATGCACATCATCCAACGAGTCAAGGTTATTATCAACCTCTTCTATTTTTCCATGGCAGTTATCTAACTCCAGAGTATTGTCTTGACATCGATTACAGTTCATTCTTTCATGAATTTCAGACCTATGATGACAAATACAACAGTAAGCTATCATTACCAGCGATCAAGGGAGAAAAACAATTTATCTACAATTTCATACGAGATAGATCAGAAAACCTCACTTTCAGGAAGAAAATCACCTGCACCCATGCACTTGAAAGAGAATGATATGGATATACTTGTATGCTTGAGTCAATGTATTTAGTATCTTGCACAAAGCTTAAATGCATAAAACTGGGCAGACGTATCTATTATAATGGACATGTCGATAGGATAGTTTAACCATCACATCACTACAGTCTACAAATTCTTAATACTACCCCTAAGGATGTTTTGCTCATGTGACCAGTGTCACATAGATATTAACACAAGTGCCAGCATCCCATAGATATATTAGGCGTTCGGTAAATTAGCCCAAGAAACTGATATGGCTTGATATCTGCAAACTATGTATAGGGATCATTGAACTACCTAGACCAACTCCGTAATCTCCACCCCACAATTCCGAAGCTGGTCCACTGGGGTCTGTGATTCCTTAAAACAACGGGATGTGCCCTGCATTCATTCAGATCATACCCCTCAATACGGCCGTTTGGGATCCAGATTTTCAGTGGCAGTAGTCCTAGCACAATAGTAACCAGATCTTATTATAAGTGGGACAGGTGCCCAAATAACCATGATTACAATCTCCACTATATACAGTATCACTACCCATATTATGAACAATAGCATATTAACAATGTTGAAAAATCAATTTTGGCCACCTAAGTGGCTGGGAGAGGGCCTAGTTTCCTAGGCCGCCCAAAGGTGCAACATGGGAGTGGGGGCAGAATAAGAGGACGGCAAGAAGAAGAGAGACTTTGTTGAAAATATATCCTTTTCTTCGATACACATGGGAATTTTAGGCTTCAAAAAAAATACCATTTCTCTCCTCATAGTTAAAGAGAGATCGGCACCTTTACATTCACCTTCCTCTCATTTTCTTCTCTATTAATACCCCATCTCTCTCTTTCTCTCTCATTTAGTGCATTATCTCACCACCATCAGGTCATATGCTTCCTTAATACCCACATTTTTCTCTCCTCACATTTAACGCATGTTTCTCACTCCTCCCCTCGCACACACATTTAATGTAGGAGAATGATGCCCATACACTCATTGTCCTCTCATTTTTCGCCTTTAATACTCCATCTCTCTGTTTAGGTGGATTTTTTATGCCTCCCAAACTCTACATTAGTTCACTTTTGAAGAAGGGCTAACCTTACCTTAACCAATCCTATATGATCAACCATGCACATTTGAGCAAGATTTAGACTAAATATTGGGCTTATAACTGGTTTGATGCTAAGGGGAGTTTACTGCCCAGGGGTCTTATGTAAAATTTGCGCCCCAGTAGCCTTCATCACTAGTAATCATTTCTTTCAATACACCCTGGGTACATTCCGGTGCACCCACCTTGATATACACACTTTTCTTTTTGGATACACTCCAAGACTTGCTTGATAACTGGAGGGTAAATGTTCCCTAGAAATTGGAAGGTCTTCTTTACTAGGGACAGTGATTTAAAAAACGGACCGCCCAACGCCTGGGCTCGCCTAGGCAGTCAAATTAAGAGATATCTCTGGGTGCCTGCCTAGGCTCCCGAGAACCTGCCTAGGTGGGCGCCCAGGACCTACGCCCCGCCTAGGGGTGGAAATGCCCCTCGTTGAGGGTACTTTTTGGTCATTTTTTTAATATGAAATGAGCAAAATTGTGGGTTTTAGGTTTATTTGAAATCTAAAACCCATTAGAGCCTATTTGAGAGAAAGAGAAACCCCAAAAAACTAGTTTTTGGTGATTTCCATAAGACTGAAGAGTTTCTCAAAGTTACAAGAAATTGATCTAAGCATCATCCATTGATATTAGATTTAGTTTAGGATGTTCTATAAATCTATTAGAGATTTTTAGAAGATTTTGAATCCTTAGAAATATCGTAGAGATGAAAGTTAGGAGATCGAGCAATCAAAGTTTTGAAATTTTTTTTATTGCTTGTATTATTTTGATATGTCTTATTCGGGATCTAATCGAAGTGGTGATCCGGATTGGAAATAAGGCTAGTACCCGAATCCGTTGGATAAAAATTGTTATGGAGTATGGAGGAGTGCGTGCTATGTGGACTTGTGTATTATACAGTTGATATACCCTAAATCCCTGATTCTTATGTGCTATACAATTATACTTATACCCGTAGACTATAGAGATATTTTTCTTTCTACTGAGCCGCCCAGATTTTGGACGCCCGCCTTAGCACTAGGCGGCCTAGAACCCCCCGGCCACCTAGCACTTATTGAAACATTGGCTAGGGAGAAAGATCTCAGAGGAAGTTCTATGTGTCTGTGTTTGATAACCTGCTGGAATGTTAAAGAAGTTCTAGGTACCTGTGTTTGACAACCTGTTGGATTATTACATAAATAAATAAATAAATAAATAAAAATATATATAGATATAGATATATATATTACATATAATACAAAGATAAACTTTATAATAAAATATCTTCTTTTTGAGGAATAGTTAACTTGTATTAAAATTGTAAGAGATTACAAAATTAGAGTTCTGAAGTCACCCACAGCTGGGGACTCGGTAAAAAATCATATGACCAAATTTGTACAGTGGCTTATAACAATGCCAAGTTGCTTGGTTTTACAATGTAGTTTAAAGAAACAAGAAAGAGGGCTTATAGAGTCGCCCTTGTACAAACATATACAAAAAGCTTTCAAAAAAAACTCCTGTGCAAAAATTAGACTGCTGTGCAAAAAATCAGGCTGAGATGTGGAGGTTGTATGCCCCTAGTCCTGCGTAAAACAAGGGGACCCGTGTTGCACTTCTTGTCCCTATCTTCTAACTCCCTCTTTCGCTAGCCGATCTGCGGTGTCGTTGGACGTCCTCCAAGTATGCAGCCAGGAGACATCCATAGCCCTGCACATGTGATGTATCTCATCAAATATAGGAATAAGGTGCCACGGTGGAGGGCTAGAATTACTAGCCCAAGAGAGGACATTCTTAAAGTCCCCTTCCACAATGAGGTGTGGGCCCCACACCGGATTGTAGTTTTTCAGAGCATGCAAAAGGGCCAAACTTTCAGCATGGGTGGAGTCCTTAAGGCCTATGTACTCTAAAAGAGCTAGGAGGACGGTGCCTTCGTGGTCTCTATAAACTCCTCCAACCCCTGCTGGCCCAGGGTTGCCTAAGGAGCACCCATCAAAATTAAGCTTGATCATTCCTTGACGGAGGCTGCCAGTTATTAGGCCTTGTAATAGATTGAGGTCAAAGATGAAGGAGGTTGAACCATTAGGGAAAGAAGAAACTCCCTGGTATGCCTTTAAAAGTCTTATGGTTTGAAGCCCAAAATGTGACCAAAGAAATAGCTTTGTGAAATATAGCTGAAGGTTGGAGTTTGCATCCACGAAAGATTCTACAGTTTCTTTCAAGCCAAATGGACCAGATAATAGCTGCTACCATAGCCCTCCAAAGGATTCTCCCTGCTTTGAACCAGCAGGAATGTGGTTCAAAAGAGATTAGGTCCTTGACCGATGGGGGAGTAACCCATCTGATGCGAAACAGTTGCAGAACTGTGCCCCATAGTTCGAAGGAGAAATCACAGAGGATGAAGAGATGGAGGTTGGTCTCCTCTTCACTTTCACACAGAGCGCACCTGTTAGGAAGTTGGACCCCTCTTTTCTAGAGTTTGTCCACCGTTAGAGCTTTGTGAGAGGAGGCAAGCCAATTGAATGTTTGTACTTTAGGTGGGGCTATGGTTGCCCATACTCTATTATGCACCAAGCTCAAAAGACCCGAGTGCATGGATTGTAGGGTTAAACTTTTATAGAAAGAGGCGACAAAAAAATTTCCTGAAGCTGTGAGAGTCCAAACAATTCTGTCATTGCCTTGAGACTGGAAAAACAGAGTGTAAGATTGATGAGAGAACCTGGAACTGATTGGTTTCATCTTCAGTTAGGCTCCTTCGGAAAAAAGGGCTCCAGACTCTTCGATCTCGGGAGGGGACCACTTCCTCCACGATTGTAGAGCAGGCATTTCGTGTTAGAGAGGAGTGAGGGGAAAGCCTCCCTCAAGGGAGAGGATCCAAGCCACAAATCAATCCAAAAATCGACTCTTGTTCCGTCTCTTGAGAGGAATCTGATTGACCTTTTGAAAAGAGTAAAAGCAGTGGAGAGGGATTTCCAAGCACCCGAAACTTTGTGTTTCTGGATTCTATCAGGCAGCCAGGCATACTCAGAGATGTGGTATTTGTGCTTGAGGGCCTTGGCCCATAGAGCACTCGGCTGGTTAGCTAGACGCCACCACCATTTCCCGAGAAGGGCCACATTGTGCATACGGAGGTTTTTGATGCCTAGGCCCCCCTAGGTTCTAGGACAGCACACAATGTCCCAGGACACAGGGTTGTATTTCTTCTTTTCTGCCTGAAGTTCTTCATGAGCTGGTTAAGTCGGTTGGCCACTAGAGCAAGCATATGGAAGATTGACATGAGGTAGATTGGCGAGTTCGCAAGAGTGGCTTTGATCAAAGTCGATCTCCCTACCATTGAAAGGAATCTGCCCTGCCACCCTGCCAGGCACCTATCTACCTTGTCTATAACTGTCGACCAGTGTCTTTTCTTAGGTTTACCAAGCCCCAGAGGTAAGCCAAGGTAGGTGGTTGGGAGGTCCTCCACCTGGCATCCCCAACCAGGCACAAGGTCACGGACTTGTGATGTGGTCAAACCAACTCCCAACATTCTGGACTTGAGCATATTTACTTTGAACCCCGTTGCCTTTTGAAAGCAATGGAGAAACAATTTAAGGTTGTCCACTTCTCTGGAGGAGGCCTCCAAGAAAACAAGGGTGTCATCCGCATACTGTACATGCGACACCATGGGACCTAGTCGGCTGGTCTTGAAGCCTGTGAGCAATCCCGCCTAGAAGATTCTAGAAATAGAGCGACTAAAAACTTCAGTCGCTATTGTAAAGAGGAAGGGAGAGAGGGG